TCTCTCTCTCTCTCAGTCAGCTAAGATGTTTAACTACGCCCGATGGAAGAACGCATGCAACTACATCTTCATCCTGTTTGCTGCGATCTTCATCGTCACTCGCCTCATCATCTTCCCTTTCCGGTACACAGTTCATCCGTCTCTCTCTCTGTGTTTCTCTCCACACACATGCTGTCATCAAACATGCCATGATTGACGTGATTATGATACAGTCGTGGTGTGTTTCTATGGATATAAGCGTGATTATACACGTGCACAAGTAAAACCAGGTGCTAAATTGTTTGGTTGAGAACAAAGATGTGAAGATGTGTAATACTGTAAAACACGGCCAATTAGTGTGATGTCTTTGAAGGTGTTTCTGTCTGTCTCTCAGGATCATGTATTGCACATGGGTGTTTCCCGTGACCCTGTACCCTCCGTTCTTCGGATATTACTTCTTTAACGGGCTGCTGATGGTTCTGCTGTGTCTGCACATCTTCTGGGCCGTGCTGATCATACGCTTGGCCTTCCGCTTCTTGAGCAGTAACGTACGTCTGCATGGTTTCATATTTACATTTACACCTAGTTTTATCGGTAACATAAGGTCCAAATATTTGAAGGAGCAGCTCCTGAACGTGAAAATTTGCCTGAAATGTGCCCACCCTCAGGTCATATGAGATGTAGGCAAGTTTGTTTCTTCATCAGATTTGGAGAAATGTAGCATTGCATCACTTGCTCTGTAGTGAATGGGGGCCGTCCGAATGAGAGTCCAAACAGCTGATGAAAACATCACAAGTAATCCACAGCACTCCAGTCCATCAGTGAACATCTGGAGAAGACAAAAGCAGCTGAAACAAATCCAGCATTAAGACCTTTTTAACTAAAATACGAGTCTATAATTCATAATAACGCTTCCTCCGGTGAAAAAGTGGTCTGGTGAGAGACTTTTTCACTGGAGGAAGCGTTATGGGTTATGGACTTGTATTTTAGTATCGGAAGCAACAGTTTGAAGAGTGTTGTGTGGTTATTGTGATGTTTTTATCAGCTGTTTGGACTCTCATTCTGACGGCACCCATTCACTAACAGAGGAGCAAGTGATGCAATGCTACATTTCTCCAAATCTGATGAAGAAACAAAAAGGACATTTTGAGCATCTTTTCATTTTCGAGTCATCTATTCCTTTAAGGGCATGTAGCTCACGAGTCACGATACTTGAATGAATTTTTTTGGAAGCTTGAGCTTTGTGAAAATCATTTTTTTGAATATCACACCTGTATTTGTTCTCTGGAAGATAAACAGTCACACAGGTTTGGGACGGCATGAGGGTGAGTAAAGATGACAGATTTTTGGGTGAACTATGCCATTGTCTTTGTGAATGCTTTCTCTCCTGACGCTGTCATTCTTTCCCAACAGTCGTCGGTAGAAGACGAGAGGTCCGATCGAGAGGAGATGGACGAGTCCGAGGAGGAAGAACAGATGAGAAACGGAGAGATAAAGAAAAGCGGACCAGCTCAGAACGGCCACGCTACATATAACAACAACCACTCTAAAACAGAGTGACGTCCCGAGAGAAACCCAAAGAGATTCTTCCTCTCCTGAAGCAGAGCAGAGACGAACACGCACACATACAGTTACAGTCATCACACGAACACCTCTCTCTGGAGGGACGAACAGAGAGCAGTGCTGCCTCGATTGACATAAGCTTACAGGAGCAGATCACCTAGAAATCTACATCCTTTACTGATGCCTCTCCAAACCTCGGTGACTTTCTTGCAAAGACTTTCAACCTGCTCTTCCCCATACAATGAAAATCAATGGTGACCACGACGGTCAAGCCAGATTTGCCGTCTGTTCCTCACACAGATCAGTGCTCGTCTCATATTGCTGCATTTTTTTATGCTGCGTCTTTGTGCTTTCTAGAGCTTGAAATCCTTTCGTTTCATTGTATGGTAGACAGCTATGGAAGCCAATGGAATACATGAATAAAAGGTCATTGTGACATTGTATCTCACAATTCAGACCTTGTTTCTCGCAATTCTGAGAAAAACAGAATTCCGAGATTTAAAACTCAGAATTCCACGCAATTCCAGAGTTTATGTCCCATAATTCTGAGTTTACATCTCGCAATAATTATGAGACGTAAACTCAGAATTGCAAGAAAAATGTCCGAATTATGAGATAAAAAGTCGCAGTTACATTTTTACATTCCCTGGCGGAATCAGGCTTCCATAGAGAGCAGCTCTGACATTATGCGTAAATGATGACTGATTATTTTAGGTGACCTGTGCCTTTTAAAAGTGCCTTCCTTTGCCATTGTTTGCTCTTTTTCATGCCTTGTTTTTAGTTTTTAATTTAAGAAACTGCAGAAACTTTTTCCAGAGTATAACCATTCATCAATAATACCGAACACATGTGAGTACCAAGTACATCAGTTTGGTCTTAAAGTGCGGTCACAATTCACTGGCAAAAAAGGTAATAGTCTATTGTCAGTAGTGTAGCGATGTATGAAGAACATCTCGCACAGAAGTCACTTCCAAACCGATTACGCGAGATGGTCGAGTGCATTCAATGCATTTTCACTCATGGAATAAATTAATCACGGCGGCTGGCAGTAAATAATGCATTTCTGCAATGGCATTGGTTACTAGAAAGGTTTTGTTCTGTATGATGCTGCATCTCTGACTCTGAAGTGTCAGGACGATCAGGCAGAGCACCAAAGAAGTCACTGAGTGCATCTTATAATATGGCCGAATGTTACTAACTTTCTAACGCAAAGGAGAAAACATGCACTTCACTGCCAGTTCTCCTTCCATTCAGTTTATGAATATGATATTTAACCCATATTTTACTCTAAAGCTCCTAATTATGAACGACTCGTATCGGCCAGTTGTAGCTCGGTCATGTTCACACCGATTCTAAATATATGAACACCGTGCTTTCTTCCGTCTCGAGCAGCTGAGATGAATTCGGCTCTCCTCATTTCTCTGAGGTGCAGGCTTTTCTCTCTCAAAGCGGCCAGTGCTGTCTACATTCATGATTCAATCCCACAGCTGCTTCATCTGAATCCGCTCGTTCACATCGCGTTTCTGTGTCCTGCTCCGATTTCATCATTCCTCCCATGGTCCTCCGTCAGCCTCCCATCATTCTCTTCTCTACATTGTTTCAGATGCAGTCGACTCGATTACAGTGTTATCTTTATTTTGTATTTTCCTGTGTTTTGTAATATGATATTATGGAGGATGTTAACAATAAAATACTGAATGTGAGTCACACACTGAGTCACACTCTGTTATTATTTTATGTCGTTAGTCTCTTCAAGTAGTGTCAACCACAGCCCTTATTTTATTATAATATATGAATCTAAAATATTATAAAAACCCACAGGGAACTCCTAAAGGACTCTAGGGCTGTCAGATGACTGTTTTCTTCTTGGGTCACATAATTACATTATATTACATTAAATACAAGTTAACCGAAACATGTTCATTTACATATTAAACATTAGAAATGTAGAGGTTTATAGAATGAGGAAGTAAATACGTGCCTTTAACTGTATTGAATGTGCACTTGTGGTATGTAGATAATATAATATTATTTAAATAAAAGGCCACTTAAGTACTTAAAGAGAGACACTGACTGTTTCTTACACTTAAGTACACTTTTTAAAAATGCACTTTGTAATAATGTCAATTATAAAGTACATTTTAAATCGTTTTGATATGTTGATGTGTTTACTAACACACTAAAGAACTTGCTTAAGTTAATCAGTTTTAAATGTACTAAATTGCGACTTCATTACATAAATGACATGCAAGTTTCAATAGAAATGACATTGAAGTGTATTTTAGTTTATTTTAAACGCGTGTCTGTACTAAATTCCGGGAATTTTCAAGGCTGGAAACTTTCCACGGGAATTAAGGAAAGAAATTGTTTTTGCAATATTGCCTATATTTAGCCTGTAACAGGGAACTTAAATATAGATGGGGAAAAAATCTTGCAGCATAATCTTGGTGAAAACAACTAGATGTAATGCATTTCCTTTGACATTCTACTCAATCACATGCACAATGCACAGATCATTTCTTGAATC